GCCCTGGGTCCTCGTGACAGGGTTGGAATGTGCAGCGTTGCTGAGCTGATTGGCACACCCCCAGCTCACACTCTTTGCCCCTCTGGGCTCGGGGTCCGCGCTCCGTCACATGACGAGCATAAAAGGGGTCAGGCTCAGGGAAACCGCTCCGTGTTGGTTTGAAGGGTGGGTTGTTGCTTTCCTTTGGGGTTAGTTTCTAAGGCACGCGTGTTGAGCGGCGCTGTTGGAGGTGAGCCCAACGGTCCCTTGCTTATGCCAGGTCGCCCAGTCAAGCTCTCGTGCCCCCGCCTGCGTTCAGGCCGCCTGCGTTCAGGCATGCGGAGTTGCGCCTCTCGTTTGAGGATGAACCGCACGGTACCCGCCGGGGGTCATTCATTCATTCATTCATTAATTCCTCCTCTTCCTCCATTCCGTTCCTTATGAATAACTTCTACCTGTCGCACTACGAGGCCAGCTTTTAGGGCGGGCCGAGCGTTTCCCCTAAGACTTCCTCACCATCATGACTCTGAAGCTGAACACTGGCAACAGTTTCACATACGGAAGGCGGGTGGTCTTCAAAATGTGGCCCTCGCCTTAGCGCCGCGCACATTCGTTTCAAAATGTTGCAAGAGCTTCACGGATTGAGGATAACCTGTTTTCAAAATGTGGCTATCGCGTTAGCTCCGCGCACACTCGTTTCAAAATGTTGCAAGAGCTTCACGGATTGAGGGCGACCCGTTTTCAATACGTGGTTCTCGCCTTAGCGCTGCGCACACTCGTTCTTCAAATTTGCAAGAGTTTTGCGGATCGAGGGCGGCTCCTTTGCAAAATGTGGCTCTCGCCTTAGCGCCGCGCTCATTCGTTCATACAATTTGAAAGAATTTCGCGGGCCCCCACGATCAAAGCACCAGAAATTGTGTTTGGAAGGATTCAGGATTTTGCGGGCGCAACAGTTACGTTGATTCGCGGTGTTGAAATCCCAAGAAAGGCCGTCTGGCACGATCCAGGTTTGTCAAGACGCAAAAATCAGGTTGATCCGTGGCGTCGAAATCCCAGGAACAATGTTTTGGCATGCTTCCGGATCTTCAAACGGTGGTCTTCCAACGAGGCAAATCCCTCAATGGAAATGAACCGTTGTAGGGGCCTATGAAGAGAAAACTTGGAGGGTGTATTCCAATGGAGTTGATGGCTCTTGGGTTCCTGGTCCTCCTCCTCCTCCTAAACGCGCTTCCTGCCTCCGCCCCCGCTTCCGCGTTCGCTTTCCTCCTCCTCTTCCTCCTCCTCCTCCTCCTCCTCCTCCTCCTCCTCCTCCTCCTCCTCCTCCCCCTCCCTCTCCCCCATCCTCCTCCTCCTCCATTCCTTTCCCTTGCTTATAACAAACTTCTCTCTATCGCACCCCGAGGCCAGTTTTTAGGGCGGGCCAGGCGTTTCGCCTGAGACTTCCTCATCATGTATGACTCTGAAGCTTGAAAATCAGCAACACACACATAGAGGGCGGGTCGTTTTCAAAATGTGGCTCTCGCCTTACAGCGGCGCACCTTCGTTTCAAGAATTAGCAAAAGCTTCACGGATTGGGGGCGCCCCGTTTTCAAAATGTGGCTCTCGCCTTAGCGCGGCGCAAATTCGTCTTAGAAATATGCAAAAATGTCACAGATTGCGGCGACCCGTTTCCAAAATGTGGCTCTCGTCTCAGAACCGCGCACATTCGTTTAAGAAATTTGCAAGAATTGTATGGATTGCTTTTCAAAATGTGGCTCTCGCCTCATCGCCGCGCATGTTCGTTTATAACATGTGCAAGAGTTTCACCGATTCCCGTCACCAACGTACCAAAAATATTGTTTTGAAAAGATTCCAGATTATGCTGGCGCAGCCGTTACGTTGATTCGCTGTGCTGAAGTCCCAGGAATAGCATTACGGTACGATTCAGAATCCTTAGGACGCAACACTCAGGTTGATCCGTGGCGTTACACTTCCGACAACAATGTGTTGGCATGCTTCCAGATCTTCAAGCAGTTGGCTTCCAACGAGGCAGATCCCTCAATGGAAATCCGCCGACCCCTTGGGGATCATCGGCGTGTGAGATGCTCCCCCCTCTCCAAACCCCTCCCCCGGGAGCCCGGTCCGGTCGATTTGGAGGGGGGGGGGCCCCCGACGAGCGCGTCACGGGCTCTTCCGGGCCCAAGAGGGCTTAAAGATAGGCCAAGGAGGCCCCAAGAGGGTTCCAAGACGGCCCACGAGGGCCCCGGGACGCTAAACGAGCGCTCCAAGACGCCCAAGATGGCCCCAAGACGGGCCAAGAGGCCTCCAAGACGGCCCCAGAGGTCCCAAACAAGCCTCCCAAGAGGGCCCCGAGAGGCTGAAATTGTTGATTTTCCATTGTGTTTGTCAGTGTTTTTTGCCTTTTCACCTTTTCGGCTTCCCGACGTTCCAAGACGGCCCAAGAGGCCCCGAAGACAGCCCCAAGACGGCCCAGGAAGCCCCCAAGAAGGCTCCAAGACGGCCCAAGAGGGCCCCAAACCGGCCCAAGAGGTGCCCAAGACGGCTCCAGGAGGGGGCCCAGACAGGGAACCCGAACGGAAATTGCAAGCCCTCGGCCCCAAGAAGCCTCCAGGAGGCCCCAAGAAGCCCCCAAGAAGCACCCAAGAGGCTCCAAGAGGCCCACCAGAGGCCCAAAAGCGGCCCCAAAACGGCCCCCAAAAGGCCTCAAAGTGCTGCCAGGAGGCCCCCGAGAGACCTACCAGGAGTCCCAAGGGGTCGGCGGTGCGGCGTAAGCCAAAGAATAAACCGTTGTAGGGGCCTATGAAGGGTGAGCTTGGATGGAGGGTTTATTCCAACATCGTTGATGACTCTTGGGTTTACACTGGTCCTCCTCCTCCTCCTCCGCCTCCGTCTCCGCCTCCGCCTCTGCCTCCGCCTCCGCCTCTTCCTTCTCCCCTTTCTCCTCCAACTCCTCCTCCTCCTCCTCCTCCTCCTCCTCCTCCTCCTCCTCCTCCTCCTCCTCCTCCTCCTCCATCCTCCTCCTCCTCCCTCCTCTCCTCCTCCTCCTCCTCCTCCTCCTCCTCCTCCTCCTCCTCCTCCTCCTCCTCCTCCTCCTCCTCCCCACGACGGGGCGAGAGCGGAGGAGACGCTAGAGGAAGTGCAGCCGATGGTCGAGCTCCCGTGTGCGCCCCCGGGATGGGAGAGGCGCCCAAGCAAAAGCCAGAGGCGAGCATGGAGGCGCCTGCGCCTTGCGACATGCCGGCAGGCGGAACCGGACTTCAAACGGCTGATGGGAGGGCAGTGGCAGCCGAGCGAGGCAGTGGCAGCCTGCGTCAAGGAGGGGAGTGGCAGCATCCAGGATGCGTGAAGAGGGAGGCGAAGGAAGAGCCCGACGCCATCTGCTACAGCGCCGAGATCCGAGCGTGCGAGAAAGGGAAGGCGATGGTGGAGCCCGACATCCCATGGGAACAGCGCGTGCGAGAAGTGGAAGGCGAGGATGGAGTCCGACGCTTTCAACCACAACGCTGGGACCATGGAGTGCGAGAAGGAAGCGGCCAAGCTGGAGCCCTACACCCCCAGCCAAGACTCTAGGATCAGCGAGTGCGAGAAGCGGAAGGCGAAGACAGCCCGACGTGAGCAGCTACAGCGCTGCGATCAAGGCATGCGAGAAGAAGGCGAAGCTCGAGCCCGCTATCCCTTGCCAGGACTCTTGGAACAGCGCCTGCGACCAGAGGAAGGCGAGGAGTGAGCCTAACACGATCAGCTACAGCGCGGGGACCAGTGCGCGCGAGAAGATGAAGGCAAAGCTGGAGCCCTTCCATAGCCACAGCTCCGAGAACAGCGCGTGCGAGAAGTCAGAAGCGAAGTTGGAGCCCGACTCGATCCCTAGTCACTATTTAGGAATCAGTACGTGCAAGAAGCGGAAGGCGAAGATAGAGCCCGACAGGATCAGCTACAGCGCAGAGACCATGGCGTGTGAGCAGGGGAAAGCGAAGACGGAGCCCGACCCCTCTAGCCACAACCCTGGGACCAGCGCGTGGGAGTAGTGAGAGGCGAAGGGCACTGAGAGCAGCGCCTGCGAGAAGGGTGAGCCATGCCAGAGGCCTCTCGCGACACGCAGCGGGAAGTGCGAGGCGAAGATGGAGCCCGACGTCATCAGCTACAGCGCTGGAAGCAGGCCGTATGAGAAGCGGGAAGCGAAGATAGAGCCAGACATCACCAGCTACAGCGGCGACGGCACCAGCGGGGCCATGTGGGAGGCTCGGACAGCGATCGCGGCGACGTGGCTGGCAGGTGACGAAACTGGGAAGCCTGGTGTCACCAACTAAAGGAGAAGCCCAACGTCATCAGCTACAGCGCTGGAACCCACTGGGAAGCGGAGGACGTACAATGGAGAGTGGGGGGCCCTTCCAGAGGAAGACCAGCAGAAGATCGAGACCAGATACCAGAAGTACCTCACCCCGCCCAGCAGGAAGTTCAGCCCCTTCAGCCTGCTGGGCACGAACGGAAGGCCCACATGGCCACTCAGGCCAGACTTCGCGAAGATGGTCCTGAGGAGCACGCAGAGTGAGAGACGCGTCCAGATGAGGCGCGTGTGAGAAGTGCGAGGAAGACCAGCACTGCCTCGCGAGACGGAGCCGGAGGGGAGACTGCAGCGCCGTGCAGGCGCGCCCAGCCGCGGGCTGCGGCGACGAGAGGCCGCCACCGCTACCGCGCGACCGCCCCAGTGCCCTGAGCGGGAGCCCCTTGAGAATGGGGGCATACCGAGGGGGGGGGGCATGTGCGCGGCGGGCGGCGGGGCGGCCCGTGGCCTGACATGGTCAGTGTGGGGTAATCCTTGTGAGTATCCTCCTCCTCCTCCTCCTCCTCCTCCTCCTCCTCCTCCTCCTCCTCCTCCGTTAGAGGCCTCCCAAATGGGATCTGAACAGATGGGGTCGGAGAATCGCGCCGCATCGCCGATGTATCCCCAACGCATCGGCGATGCTTATGCAATGCATCGGCGACGTCGGCGATCCATCGGCGAAATCGGTGAAGAGATAATCGGGCTCTGGATCGAACCACGTCGCCGATGCGACGGGCATGCGGGGCTATCTAGTCGGACCCCATTGGCGAGGCCTGGGAACGTCGTCGCCCGCCGCAGATCTTTGTCTCTGCTGGGCCAGCCCTCGCAGAGGCCCGCTCCCAAATGCCAAGGCAGATCAATCAAGGGTGGGCCGCCAGTGGCGGGGCCGCCGCCTACAGCGGACCCCTGATGCGCACAGCGGGGCCACTCCTCCTCATCCACCTTCTCGTCCTCCTCCAACCCCTCATCCTCGTCTTCCTCCCCGTCCTCCTCCTCCTCCTCCTCCTCCTCCTCCTCCTCCTCCTCCTCCTCTCATTCATCTCATCATCTCATCATCATCATCATCATCATCATCATCATCATCATCATCATCATCATCATCATCATCATCATCATCCATCACCACCACCACCACCACCACCACCACCACCACCACCATCATCATCATCATCATCATCATCTCATCATCATCATCATCATCATATCAGCATCAGCATCAGCATCATCAGCATCATCATCATCGCATCATCATCAGCATCAGCATCAGCATCAGCATCATCATCATCTCATCATCATCATCATCTCTCCTCATCCTCATCCCATCTCATCCTCATCATCATCATCATCATCACCACCACCACCACCACCACCATCACCACCACCATCATCATCATCATCATCATCATCATCATCATCATCATCATCATCATCATCATCAACATCATCATCATCATCAGCATCATCATCATCATCATCATCATCATCATCATCATCATCATCATCATCATCATCTGCCTGCGCCGAGCGTCGGAGCGCCAGCTGGAGGGGCTGCGCCGTCTCCGACGAGGGCTCCACCCAACTAGGAGCGCGGTGCTGGGGGAGCCCGCCCGCCTGGCGGGCCGAGGGCGGCCGCGGAGCCGCTCCCGAGAGCGGCGCGAGGCCGCGGCGTCCGGCGAGCGGGGCGAGGGCGCTGCTTCGGGCGCGGGGGGTAGGGGTGGGGCCTAAACCCGTGGTGCCTCCTGGGCGGGCAGCGGCCCTTTAGGCTTGCCTAAGGGGTGCCGTTGTCCCCGTTCGGCTCTTGGTTGCCCTGGTGCTCCAAGTTGTCGTGCGGGTCCAGGTTGCATCGCGGGCTTGGGTGCCTCCCCCTGCCCAGAGCGGGGGCTGTGCGACGCACGCCGTCCGCCGAGGGGGGATCATCATCATCATCATCATCATCATCATCATCATCATCATCATCATCATCATCATCATCATCATCATCATCATCATCATCATCATCATCATCATCATCATCATCGTCATCATCATCATCATCATCATAAACAGCAGCAGCAGTAGCATCAGCATCAGCATCATCATCATCATCATCATCATCATCATCATCTCATCATCATCATCAACAGCATCATCAGCATCATCATCGTCATCATCATCAGCATCATCGTCATCGTCATCATCATCATCAGCAGCATCATCATCATCATCATCATCATCAGCTCATCATCATCATCATCATCATCATCATCATCATCATCAGCATCATCATCATCGTCAAAATCATCATGAGCATCATCATCCTCATCATTGTCATCATCATCAGCAGCAGCATTATCATCATCGTCATTATCATCATCCTCATCAGCAGCATCATCATCACAATCGCCATCATCATACTCATCATCATCAGCAGCATCATGATCAGCATCGTCTTCAGCATCATCATAACCAGCATCATCATCAGCATCATGAGCATCATCGTCAGCATCATCATCAGCAGCATCATCAGCATCCTGATCACCACAACTATCACCATCATCAGCATCATCATCATCCTCAGCAGCATGAGCATCATCATCATGATCATCATCAGCATCATCAGCATCATCAGCATCAGCATCATCAGCATCTTCATCAGCAGCATCAACATCATCATCATTAGCAGCAACATCGTCCTTATCAGCACCAGCATCAGCATCATCATCCTCGGCATCATCATCAGCATCACCATTCCCATCAACTTCACCACCATCATCAGCATCAGCATCATCATCAGCATCATCCTCAGCATCATCAGCATCATCAGCAGCATCATCATCAGCAACATAATCGTCATCAGCAGTATCATCATCATGATCATGAGCATCGTCATCATCAGCATCATCATCAGCATCATAATCACTACCACTACCAGCATCATCATCATGATCATCATCATCATCATCCTCATCATAATCCGCGGCATCATCTGCATCATTATGAGCATCACCAGCATCAGCATCAGCATCATCAGCATCATCAGCAGCATCAACTTCATCATCAGCATCATCGTCATCATCATTATCCATCACCATCACCAGCACCACCACCACCATCAGCATCATCAGCAGCAGCATCACCATCAGCATCATCGTCATCATGATCATCAACATCATCATCAGCATCATCGTCAGCAGCGGCATCACCATCACCATCACCATCCTCAGCATCATCACCGTCGTCGATATCATCAGTAGCAGCAACAGCAGCACCTGCAGCAGCAGCCAAATCACCATGAGCAGTCCCCTCCTCCTCTTCAGCATCATCAGCATCATCAGCAGCATTGTAACCATCCTCCTCCACATCTTCCTCATCAGCATCACCATCATCACCAGCATCACCATCATAAGCACCAACAGCATCAGCATCACCATCATAAGCACCAACAGCATCATCATCATCATCATCATCATCATCACCATCACCATCATCATCATCATCATCATCATCATCATCATCATCGAGAGAGAGAGAGAGAGAGAGAAAAAGAAAGAAAGAAAGACAGAAAGAAAGAAAGAAAGAAAGAGAGAGAGAGAGAGAGAGAAAGAGAGCGTGATTCACCGCCGCTTTACTGTGGAAAATTCCCCACCTTTTCCTATGGAACCCAGAGGACCGCCCCCCTCCGAAATACCCCCCCCCCTGCTCGAACCGCACCCCTCCACCCCTTCTCCGGAAAACTGGAGGGGGTCACCACCAGGTCGAACCCCCCTCGCCCCCCCCCCCCCCCATCCAGAAAACTGGGGGGGGGGGTCACTACTGGTTCGACCCCCCACCACCACCCCGAGATTCGGTCTGTTTACAGTCCGAACGACACTTTACAACCGAGATAAGTCATTTTTCAACCAGCAAAGGATCGAATTTCCTGGTTTGCCTATGAGAACGACCACGCTACAACTAGAATAGCCCACTTTACAAACAGAACAACCACTTTACAACCCGGACGGGGGGCTCTTTGCAACCAGAAAAGGCCACTTTACAACCAGCCTTGAGAAGCGCGCGCGCGCGCTCAGCAGGGGCTTATGGAGCTTCGGAACGCCTGGATGCTCTGCAGAGGCATCTGAGCGCCTGAGCGCTTCACAAAGGCTTCTGAGCGCCTGAGCGCTTTGCAGAGGCACCCGAGCGTCTGAGCGCCTGAGCGTTTTACAGAGGCATCTGAACGCCTGAGCGTTCTGCACAGGCTTATGGGCGCCTGAGCGCCCTGCAGAGGCTCATGGGCGCCTGAGCGCGCTGCAGGGGCTCCTGAACGCCTGAGCGCCTTGCAGAGGCCTCTGAGCGCCTGAGCGCCTGAGCGCTTTGCAAAGGCTTATGAGCGCCTGAGCGCTCTGCAGATGCTTCTGAGCGCCTGAGCGCTCTGCAGAGGCTTCTGAACGCCTGAGCGCTCTGCAGAGGCTTCTGAACGCCTGGGCGTTTTGCAGGGCTTTCTGACCGCCTGATTGCTGCGCAGAGTCTTCCGAGCGCCTGAGCGCTCTAAAGCCTCTGCAAAGCGAGAACAAAAAATGCTTGCGATGCGTCAAAAAATGCAAATTGAAATCCGCGTGCATTGGCTAGAATGTAACCAGCGACTTCTTGGGCACTGTCCGCCCTCCTGGGTACGCATGCTTCCGCAACTGCTTCCGCAACTGCGCAAACCTACGGTGTTGCGGTTGTCGGACGATGGGGCGCGAGAACAACCATGGCCTATGATGCAAAACGCACTTCATGCCTTGGCCAGGATGTTACCAGCAATTTCTTGACCACATTCTTGCCCTCCTGGGTACGCATGCGTCCGCGAATGCGAACACATGCTGTTTTGCTTTTGCCGGACGACGAAGCGCGAGGACGAAACTTGTTTTTGATACCGGTACCAAAAACAACAATTTGGCATCCACGAGTACGGGCCCGAATGCTGCCATCGATCTCTTGGCCACGCTTCCGCCCTCCAGGGCGCGCATGCTCGCAACTGCGTAAACCTACGGTTTTCGTGGTTGCCAGACACTGGGGCGCGGGGACAAGCATGGTCGATGATACAAAAAACGCAGTGTGAAATCAACATGTACTGGCTCGAATTGAGTACCGGCTAGAACGTTACCATCGATGTCTTGGCCACACGTCCACCATCCTAGGCACGCATGCTTCTGCAACTTCAGATAAAACCATGTTTTCCCCCGATTGCCAGACGATGAGGCGCGATGGCAAGCATGGTTGGTGAAAAACAACCACTTGAAATCCAAATGTACTGGCTATAAAAATACAATTGATTTATTTGCCATTTGTTCCGTTTATCTGGGTGCGCATGCTCCCGCACATGCCAAAACATCCGGTTGCGTCGCTGCCAGACGACGAGGCGCGAGGGCAAAATATGTCTATGAGGCAAACAATGAAGTCCGCATGCGTTTGCTAGATGATTACCTACCTCTTGGCCACATGTCCGTTCTCCTGGGAGCGCTCGCTTCCCTCTGCGCGCGAACGCACTCTGTCCTCTACGTCTAGAAGATGCCGGATTTTCAGGCGGAGGCTCTGAGGCCCAAAAAATTATATCTAAGGCATGGATGTTAAAAACTAAACCGCCCAGGCTTGTAACCAACCTGTAGAGGAAGGATTACTATTGAATCTCAGCTGGGTTCCAATATCTCTTCTTGGGTACCACAAGGAATACCAATAGGACGCCAATCGGGGCACAACATGAGTCAAAGAGGACAGGTTTTTGTTGAGTGATGGGCCCTGATGGAATCTCAGTAGTATGCCCGTATGGATCGAAAACGAAAGACTCGGATTGGATTTCAATGAGACATCCTTCGTTTTTGCCCACTTGGTTTTGATGGGATTCCAAGGAAGACGGTTCCTACTGTTTTCGAATGAGAACCCACAAGAATACCCACCGGGCTTCCCCATAGCATCCCCAGTGCATTCCCCGCAGCATTCCAGGAAAAGGTTTCTCGATTGTACTCCAATGAGGTTTCCCGTCGGCTTCCATTGGGAAGGACCCCAACGGGCTTCAATATGAAGCGTCCCTGTCGGATTCCAACAGGACGCCCCTAGGCCCAATATCGAGGAATCTTGTTGGTTTCCGCTGGGTTTCATCTGGTGCCAACAGGATCCCTGCGGGAAGGGTGCCAATAGGAGTCCACCAGGATCCCTTTTGCATCCCATTAGGGATCCGCCACTTCACAAATTCTCGCCTCAGACGGGTCACTTGACAACCAACACGCTTCAAAGAGCGAAACGTATCCCTTACGTGGACCCACGGAGATTTCGGAAATTGAAGAACATGTGTCGCGTAATTGCGATTACTCGCCTGGTTGTAAAGTGGCCTTCCTGGTTGTAAAGTGCCCTTCAGGGGAAACACATGCTGGTTGTAAAGTGCCCCATCTGGTTGTAAAGTGGCCGCTCTGGTTGCAATGTGACCCACACGCCCCCCCCCCCCCTTCGCCGCCGGCAAAAGACTCTCGGGTCCCCACCACCATCCTCACCACAGCCGCCCTCACCACTGTCCCCACCACCACCGTCCCCACCACTGCCCCACTGTCCCCACTGTTCCCACCACTGACCCCACTCTCCCCACCAATGCCCCCACCACCGTCGCACGGTCCCCACTGTCCCCGCAACTGTCCCCACCACTGTCCCACTGTCCCCACTGTCCCCACCACTGTCCCACTGTCCCCACCACTGTCCCACTGTCCCCACTATCCCCGCCGATGTCCCACTGAGCTGTCCCACTTGTCCCACCACTGTCCCACTGTCCCCACCACTCCCCCCACTGTACCACTGTCCCATTGTCCCACCACCGTCCTCACCACCCCCCTCACGTCTGTCCCCACCACCACCGTCCCCACCACTGTCCAGCTGTCCCCACCACTGTCCCAGTGTCACCTCACCACTGTCCCTACCACCACCGTCCCCACCATTGTCCCACTGTCCCCACTGTCCCCACCACTGTCCCACTATCCCCACTGTTCCCACCACTGTAACCACTGTCCCCACCAGAGCCCCCACCACTGTCGCACTGTCCCCACTGTCCAAGCACTGTCCCCACCACGATCCCACTCTCCCGACTGTCCCAACTGTCCCCACCATTGTCCCACTGTCCCCACTGTCCCCGCCACTGTCCCGCTGTTCCCACTGTACCCATCGCTGTCCCACTGTGCTGCCCCACTGTCCGCACTGTCCCCACCACTGTCCCACTGTCCCCACTATCCCCGCCGCTATCCCACTGAGCTGTCCCACTGTTCCCACCACTGTCCCACTGTCCCCACCACTACCCCCACTGTACCACTGTCCCATTGTCCCACCACCGTCCTCACCACCCCCCTCACGTCTGTCCCCACCACCACCGTCCCCACCACTGTCCAGCTGTCCCCACCAGTCCCAGAGTCTCCCCTCACCACTGTCCCCACCACCACCGTCCCCACCACTGTCCCACTGTCCCCACCGTCCCAACACCGTCCTAACCACCGCCCTCACCATTGTCCCCACCACCACCGTCCCCACCACTGTCCAGCTGTCCCCACAACCACCGTCCCCACCACTGTCCCACTGCTGTTCCCACCACCACCGTCCCCACCACTGTCCAACTGTCCCCATTGTCCCCACCACTGTCCCAGTCCCCACCACTGTCCCCACTGTCCCCGCCAGTTGCCCCCACCACTTTCGCACTGCCCCCACTGTTCCCACCACTGCCCCCACCACGGTCCCACTCTTCCCACTGTCCCCGCTCCCCACCACCATCCCCACCACCGTCCCAACCACTGTCCCCACCAGTCCCCCATCCGGAGTTGGAGAGGAGGAGGAGTCGTTGCGGCCAGGGGGAGGGGGGGGAGGGGGGAGGTTCGAACTGGTAATGATCCCACCTCGTTTTCCAGGAGGGGGGAGGGGAGGGGAGGGGCTGGTTCGAACTTGTAGTGACCCCCCCTTTTCATGATGGACCCGGGGGGGGGAGGCGGAGGGTTGGAACCTCCAGTGACCCCCTCCGGTTTTCGAGGGGGGGGGAGACGGGTTGGAACCCCCCAGTGACCCTCCGCGGTTTTCTGCCAGCAACGGTAGAACACGCTCTTTCTCATCATCATCACAATCATCCTCAGCATCGGTATCAGCATCAGCATCAGCGTCATCAGCATCAGCGTCATCAGCATCAGCATCATCTGCAGCAGCAGCAGCAGCAGCATCATCCGCACCATCATCATCATCATCATCATCATCATCATCATCATCATCATCATCATCATCATCATCATCATCATCATCATCATCATCATCATCATCATCATCAGCATCCTCCTCCTCCTCCTCCTCCTCCTCATCATCATCATCATCATCATCATCATCATCATCGTCGTCATCATCAGCAGCGTCAGCATCAGCAGCGTCAGCATCAGCATCAGCATCTTCATCATCAGCAACATCATCACCACCACCAACAATAACAACAACATAATCATCACCATCATCACCACCACCATCAGCATCAGCATCAGCATCAGCGTCATCACCATCAGCATCAGCATCAGCATCAGCGTCATCAGCGTCATCATCATCATGAACAACACCAATATCAACAACAACAAAAACACCAGCCTCATCATCACGATCATCATCATCAGCAGCAGCATCATCAGCATCATCAGCCCTATCATCATCATCACCACCACCACCATCATCATCATCATCATCATCATCATCATCATCATCATCATCATCATCATCTGTATCATCATGAAAATCATCATCCGCATCATCATCCTCACCATCATCATCATCATCATCAGCAGCAGCATCAGCATCAGCATCAGCATCATAATCATCATCATCAGCATCATCATCACCAACAACAAAAACAATAACATAATCATCACCATCATCAACACCACCATCAGCATCAGCATCAGCGTCATCACCATCAGCATCAGCATCAGCATCAGCGTCATCAGCGTCAGCAGCATCATGAACAACACCAACATCAACAACAACAAAAACACCAGCCTCATCATCACGATCATCATCATCAGCAGCATCATCATCAGCATCATCAGCCCTATCATCATCATCACCACCACCACCATCATCATCATCATCATCATAATCATCTGTATCATCATGAAAATTATCATCAGCAGCATCAGAATCATCATCATCATCATCATCATCATCATCATCATCATCATCATCATCATCTGTATCATCATGAAAATCATCAGCAGCATCAGCATCATCATCATCATCAGCAGCAGCATCATCATCCTCGTCATCATCAGCATCATCATCATCATCATCATCAGCAGCATCATCATCATCACCACCACCAACAATAACAACAACATAATCATCACCATCATCACCACCACCATCAGCATCAGCATCAGCATCAGCGTCATCACCATCAGCATCAGCATCAGCGTCATCAGCGTCATCAGCGTCAGCGTCATCATGAACAACACCAACATCAACAACAACAAAAACACCAGCCTCATCATCACGATCATCATCATCATCATCATCATCATCATCATCATCATCATCATCATCATCATCATCATCATCATCATCATCATCTGTATCATCATGAAAATCATCATCAGCAGCATCATAATCATCATCATCATCGTCGGCGGCGGCGTCGTCGGCGTCGCTGGCGTCATCCTCATCCCTCACCATGGTCTCCTCAGTCACGCGCTCGTCCTCACCCCCACGGTGCGGTCAGCACGCCTGGCCACGGGATCACGCGCGTTAGAAGTCGTACAGCACAAGCACCTTCTGCAAGCACTCCTCGAGCTTCGCGTCGTCGTACGAGGGCTGACCGTGCTCCCCGGGGTTCACAACCACCCAGTTCTGCATCGGCCGATGCCAATACTCCTGGCCGAAAAGACCGAGGAGGAGAAGTCGAGCGAGGACTCGAGGGTTCGAGGATCGAAGCGCGAGAATCCAGGGAGCCGGTTGCCGTTGTGGCATCGGGTTGCCCTCTGGAGGCGTCCAGAGACCTGTGGAAGTGGCCGACGTGGGGACGTCGGTATTGGGGTAATCGAGCGTGTGAGGCCTATATGCAGAGAAGGGGGCGACAGAGCGTCGCGCTAGCGATACCAAAATGCGCACATGGTGGAAACATCGGGGCGCGTACAGAACGCCTGCTGGTACCTGGACCATCGTCTCTATCAGGACCCCCCTGTCACGGGCGGGGTCAATCGACCCCCCCCCTTCAGAGACGAGGAGGAGGAGCAGGACGGGAGAGTGAGTAGCGCAGCACCAGCAACAGCAGGAGCAAAGCATGAGATGGAGGAATCAGAAAAGAAGAAGGGCTGCACATCCCTGAGGAATGGGGGGCAGAAGCGGAGTCGGAGGAGGAGCAGAACACATCTTCCTGGAACGGCGTGGTGGGAAAGAGAGAATGGGGAAGAATGGAGGAGCACGGCTGCAGCAATTTGGGGAGCAGCAGAAGGAGGAGGAGGACGCGGACGAAGAAAGGTAGGAGCTCGATGAGGAGCGGGGACGAAAAGTGCAGGGGAGACTCAGGAAATGGGAGGGGTCCCGACTAAAGCGGCGGGCAGAAGCAACGAGGAAGAAGTCCTCGTAGAGGACGCAGCCGTTGCTCAACAACGCTGGCACATGCGAGAAGCTGCTCTTGGCCATGACCTCCATTACCCAGGCTGCCCAGGCTTGGCAGCTCCAGGCAGGCATGCAATGGTAGCAACGGGCAT